AGAATCGCACAATATCCCAATGAAGCAACAGAGAAATGCTGTTCAAGATGAGGTGTAAACATAGCTCAAAAGATTTTAGGATATGAGCTGAATAGATTATGTTAATCCAAATCCTCATACACCCAAAATAAATGCTCAAAAGTTGGCTGGGTCACCAGGAAATTACCAGAATAAAAGGTCAAAACTGAAAACAAAAATAGTAATGTTTTTAATGTATTTACAATAAACATACAATCATCTTTTCTTCTCCAAAGAATATACAGAAAAGAAAGCTTTCAAATAAAAACTCATAAATTATGTGAATAATAAAAAATACAGAGAAGAGGGCACATCTAAAAATATTGAGTGAAGCTTTGAAAATATAGCATATATTTTCTTATTCCAATGCACCTCTGCTTTTCATAGGTCCACGGCAAAGAGTCTTGAAGGTCACACACTAAATACCATCTACAAAAGTAGACATGCCAATCTAAAACCACCACTAACACCATTTAAGGTTTCACTTTATTCAAAGGCAACATGCTGAGACTCAAACCAAAAGATTATGAGTTCATGAAGAGTTTCCAGTTTTCCTGAAATCATTTAAAGCAACACAATTACCAATTATCGACATATATTTATTTTAAATGCAGTCATTTTTAGCAAAGTGTCTGTTGAGAACTTTAGATCCAATGCTTTTGGACACGCACCACATTTTGGTACTAAACTCGTCATATGCCAATAATCTAATCACTGAAGTCCCACTGTAAAAGTCAACCCAAAAGCAAGGCCATCGAAAGAGAGTAATAAGAAAAATAGAATGTAAAAAAACATTTACGCTCTAAAGGTGTTTTCTCATCACAAGGCAAAAACATGTCAAGCACTTTTAGGCGCCAAAAGAAACAGTCTGGTTGCTGCAGGTGATAACAAGGTCCAGTCACACTTGCCAACACGTTGGACACTAAGAATTTGTCTGCTTTTTTTGTGAGTGTTGAACGTTGCAGTGCACGGGTTGATATGGCACAGCATGGCTCCTGTCAGAACGAGAAAAACGCAACATCTGGCCACACCTGCAGGGATGCAATCTGTGAAGTTTTTCTGCAGTCAACATGGTTTACTTTACACGACACTGTCACTGTCAGACTGTGGCTCCATCAGATGATGTCATGTGGAGCAAGGTTTCAGTGTTTACACTGGTACAGATTCATAAAAATAAAAATACCTTCACTTTTTAGAAAATTCCTACCCATTAACATTTATCCAGTGTCAAATGTTCCGCTTCTTTATATCAATGTACAACCGTTTTTCAGCTTTTGGGACACTTTAGATAGACGCTGACGATAAATTCAGGAACGAGGCAACAAACACCCGGAAAAACCACTTTGTACTGCAAGGTATTAACACGTAGTTCTCAGGATGTTACAGAACATTTCTATGGTGTCACTTTAGCACTTTTATGGCACTTTCTATTTACAGAGGAGTTAATACTGATTCACTGGATGATATATCAACGACAAAGCTGCCTATACAGTTACTGTGAATGAGGAGGTGGCCAGAAGTTATTAGTTATAAACTCCCCGATGTAGGGAAACCCCAAACCTGCTCTCTTATTGTTATAATTAAGCCCAGCAGTCCTGAGGCCATTTGGATATTGTCAACTCAGTTAAACTGACTGTGAACATGAATGACTAACAACTGCAAGGAAATTGTAAATGGTGTAAAAAAAAAAACGTTTTAAAGAATATTTAGCCAAGCTACGAATGTACTTTCTGTGTATTTTGATGTCATTAATGTGGGTGTTGTCGCCACCTAGTGGTGCTGTATGGCTATTTCAGCATTTTTGTTTGAATCAAGAAAAATAATTTTTATTTTATTTTATGAGAAAAAACAATAGTTTAAATATTCAAGGGGGGGGGGGGGGGGGCTGAATTTTTTGCTACAAGCCAGTCTTTCTCACCCACCTTGTTTTTATACACTTCAGGCACCAATCATTAATAAAATAAATAAATGCAATTAAGAATTCTATTTTCATTGCACTACATGAGTATATTTGTCTTAACACCCTCACTTTACGGCAGATTTTAGATCCAATAAAAGTTTAGTTTTATGTGAAGCTTTATATGAAGTAAATAAAGAAGAAAGAAAGAAAGTCAACCGGGTTTTTGAAGGTAGATTTTCTCTGTTAGAACTGAGTAAAGACTGAACTTTGTTGATTATCTCCACACCTTGAATTATGTTGTTTTTCTTTCAGCTGCTCCTTTTACTGCGGGCGCCCTTCCTGACGTAGGTTCAAAGCCACCGTCTCAGAATAACAAGACTGCACACCAACCCTTACAGCAGCAGCATTTAGTCCTCTTTTGGAAACAAAACCTGTGGCAATCATGAACTTTTAATGCAAAACATTTATATAAAAACTTACTGAGTAAGCCTGACAAACAGTAGAATATATTATCTGTGTATGTAAAACATAAGCATCCTGTTTCCTTAAGAAGAAAGTAAATAAATAAGGTTTACAAAATAAAAGTCCTTCAAATCACTTCAGTGTGAGTGATTGTGACTCAGCAGAGGCATAATAAAGATAAAAACTGTCAGCATCTCAATGCAGTATGCATTATAAAGCTCTTCTATAGTCAGAAACACAAATCAGAGGCCATTTGTGTCAAATGTGTGTTTAACCACAGAGTGTGCAACTCTGATGTTTGCATGCATCAACAGCATGCATTTAAATGAATTCTGGCAGGATCCTGCGTTCACTGACAGCTAAAATACTGTAATCGAGAGGTCTCATTGTGTCGATTTGGTGTTCAAACAAGTGTCTGCTCAGACTGGGAGCTGTCCTGCTAACAGGTGTTGGTGAGAACATCCACTGCACAGACTCGGCCTTTTCTTCTACTTGGACCTCGGGAAGTCTCAAAGTTTAGTTTACTGTGCTGTTGTGTAATGCATTCCTGCTTCAAGATGCGTTCACGCAAGAGAAATCTCATCCCTAAATTAAGCTGCATGGATTTTCAACTGGCATTTTTGGTGGTTGTGGAGTCGGTAGTTTGATAGCCATCCAAGAAAATGACAGAGGAGCTGAAAAACAGCTTTATCCAAACAGGCAACGTTATTCACTTTGAGGAAAAGTATTCCTTAAAGAGCTCATTTTATGTGTGTACTCTCCCTATTAAAATATGGACTTTTTCTATTAAGCTAAAGGGCTAGTTTAATTTTTTTTCAAAGAAGGCTTCTGTTAAAAGAATAAAGAATATCTTACCTGCTGTAGATTGCAATTTGAATGGTCTCAGTTTGGAGAAACTGAGTTTAGTTCTGGTCCTGCTCACTTAAACTATATCTTCAAACTGAGGACGTTCAAGCAACCACCTACAACAGGTAAGATGTTGACTGTTCATAATTTTCCCAGCTGAACTATTACTTTAGGTTAAGAAAAAAGGAACTCAATGTCATGTGGCTCTGTGAATAGGATAGTCAGTCACATTTGGTATTTGCTCAAAAAACAATCTTGTTATCTTAAAATAAATAACTCTTACTTTTTTATTATCAGTACAGTAGTCCCTCGCTACTTCGCTGTTCGTTTATCGCTGGTTTGCTATATCACAGTTTTTCAAATTAAGATTGGACATGGCTACAATTGGCTGATTGATGGATGAGTCATGGGTTGTTTATTTAAAATAAATTATTTAAAATGATTTTGCACCATGTGTGAAGCCCACAAGTGCAGGGGAAAGCTCCCTCCTGCAGCTGATCAGCTGATCTCCACTTTCTGCACACACATCTCTCCTGCTGCAGCGGCTTTGTGAAGGTTGCTGTTCAGATGCACCTATCGACTTTTGTCTTCCAACTTAAAATTCAAAGTATGTCGCATCGTAAAATCATCATAATCACAAAATATAAGTGTTAAAAGTTATTTTTAATTATTTTAGAACTTCTGTGTTCAGTTGTTTCAGTGTAATTGATCAAAAAGTACATTTCTGCTCTGTGCTGCAGAGCAGAAGCTGTGTGACATCCTTTGATATCCTGCTGCACTTCTCTACAATTTAAATACTTTAACATTTATTTTATTTAAAGAGGGAGATTGGGAGTAACGGGTGATGAGTGAGTGTGATTACATCCTGGCACGTCATTACTGAACTTGGATTACTGTATTTCTACTTCACAGTTTTTCACTTATCACGGGGGATGTGGTCCCAAACACCCGCAATAAACAAGATCTTTTAAGCAAGATTTAAAAAAAAAAATCCTTCAAGCCTTTTTTTTTTCCTGAAAAAGGGAAAATCTTTTATGTTATAAACTTAATAAAAACTAAACTAATATGGTTAAGTCTCCTGATATTTTAAATAACTTTGGGCAATAAGTAACATTTTTATATTTACTGTAATTGTTACTGCTCAAGCATTTTTAAGACACTAAACTAACAAACGTACCGTTGTAACCTTTATGGTTTTATTCATTTTTCACTGCTGCAGATGTTTTTTATGATGACTCAAAAAAAAAAATCATTTTTGGTTTAGGTGGAAACTGAAGGAGAGCTGAGTGTTACTCCACACGGCTGTTAAGAATCCTACAGGGTTACCAAGACGTTTAAAGAGCGGTCCAAACTGCACTAAACTGATAAGGAAACGTGTTCAGAGTTATTTTTGCTTTTTTTTTTTCTACTCCACCTGAGAAACACTGCAGGTAAATAACCTACCTGACAAAGCTCTGGTCTTAACTCTAAACCTAGCGGTGTTTGGTTTTTGAGGAGCACCGGCTGTATTTTTGTCACTGCGTTAAATTCTTATTTGCTGCTAAAGAAGAATACTGTATCCCCAAACTACTAAACTTCTTTTTCTAATCCAGCTGAGTTTCACTACGACTTTGATTGAAACAAATGATGGATCGAGTATTTGTGGCAATCGTTTTTCTCAAGGGGTCTAATGTTTCGAGTGAAAACAGTAGGACCCTTAATGCGAGTGATGCTTTAGACAGATACAACACCGAGCTGCACATTAATAGCTGCTGCTGTCTATTTGCGGATCTCTTCTATAAAACTGACTCCATGTTGTCACTCGTCTCCTGATCCTCCAGGTTATATATGAACTTTGTCCTGTTGGTTGGGTTCTGGGTAATCTCTTTGCCCAGATTATCCAGAGTCACGTTGGAAGCGAAGAGTTCGGTGGGTGTCAGATAGCCCTCGCTGTTCTTGATGTACTTCCTGTAGTTCTTCTTCAGGCACTGCCATGTGGTGGCGTACAGGACGAAGGCTGAAGACTTCAGGACGATGGCGATGCTGACGTACAGATGCCTGTAGGACACGTTGTTGTAGAGCATGCAGGCTCCCTTCTCGCCGCAGACGGAGCTCCAGAACAGACAGGTGGAGTCGATGCCCATCCCGAAGATCAGAGGAGGAGGGATGAAGCCTGGACCAGCAGGGTGTTGTGGACAGACAGCAGGTCAAAAAGTCAACAACAGTACTGGTTGGAGCTCACGTTCTGACTTTACTGTCTATTGTTCTGACATTTGCATCGCACGATAAAACACAGAGGAACACACGTTAAACAGTAAGAACACAACGTGCAACAATATAACACATGCAGACAAACGACTAGAGATTAGTGAAGGAATGAAAAGTGCTGCCATCTTATGTTGAAATGACCAACTTAGATCCGTTTTGGTCTAATCACTCACAATAGCAACAACATTCTCACCTGCCCTTTGCCTTTCTGCAGAGAGGGAAAATGAAAGTCCAGAAAGAGAAGAACTTACCTATGAGCCTCAAGAGCAGGAACAAAACTCCAAGAGCGTATGATTTCAGCTCTGGACTCACAGTTCTGAAAGGGAAGGGATGCTGGTCTGAATCAAATGTTACTTTTAGTTTCAACAGCGCGTTAATGTGTGTGTGTTGAATCTAAACTGTGTGTGGAGATTTCTGGAGCCGTCTTGCACAAGCAGAGTTTAAAACATCACCTAAACATTTCTGCCACCGTCAGAGGCTTTGTGTCGTCTTTCTGCTCTTCTTTTGATGTGCATTCATTTCATCAAAACATTTTCTGTGGCTGCTTTAACCTGTGTTAACCTCTGCAGAGGTCTGGTGTTTATCTGCAACATTCGACAGGTGAGAGGCCAGCAGAGATCAACTGTCTACCACAAAACATGAATTTATTGTACAGTAGTCCCTCGCTACTTTGCCGTTTGACTTTTGTGGATTTGTTCTTTCATGGTTTTTTAAAGTAAGATTGTACACGACGCATGATTGTCAACTTTAATATTACTCACATGATGGGGACAGTAATAAGTTAACAACAACAAAAAAAACATTGGTCAGACATTTTCTAGTTTTCTCTCAATAAGCCTATATTGTATCGCCAGTCAAAAGGACTACATTACCCAGAAGCCAACAGTGCTTTCAGCCATTGCTTTCTGCTGAGATTGAGGGAAAGTTTTGATCCGATCTGAAAAAGTTTGATCCTTATTCATAGTGACTTCAGCGCTCAGTGGATGCAGAGAGCCGTACGGAACCAGCCGGGAATTGGACCAGAACCGGACTTCCAGCCTCATTGGTCAGAGTGAGTGCTGCTTGCCGGCCCATGAGGCCTCTCAAGCAGGGAGGCGTTGCTTGAGGTCTGGTGTTTTCTCCGGAGCTCACCAGGACTTTTTTCATCCAGATTTGGACTCTATCTGGACCGTTGCGTGGTTTCGTGCTGGCTAGCCGAAGGTCCGGCTCTCTCTAAAAGTGTCTTGGTGCTCAAGAGCTGCAGAGAACCGATTAGAACCGAACCAGAACCGGACCAACTAAGGCTGTAGTGCCATACCTCTAGTACCCATCTAAAATTTTGCAGTATTTTGCTACTGTGTAGTACTTATACGTATGTTGTTAAAATCACGTAGGTTTAAGAGTTAAGAACATTCCCAGAGTGTGGGAAGGGTTTATAAAGCTTTAAAAAATATATAAATACTAAAATAAATATAACGTCGCTACTTCGTGGTTTTTCACTTATTGTGGGAGAGGGGCAGCAGGAGGGGTTCGGAACGTAACCCCTGCAATAATCAAGGGACTACTGTATTTTCCACTTTTAGGAATCATTGTCTATAGAAAGGCTTTAGATGTACAATTTTCTGTTGCATGCACCTCTTCTGTCACTACAACCCATAAAACTGCAACTATCTATAACTACAAACATCTGTGACACTTTCTGTTCTGGGCCTGGCTTGTTCTGTCATATCTGTCATATACCAGACCCCTTTGGACTGGTGTGCGTCTGGCACCATACCATATCACTCCTCTATGGTTCAGGATGTGGCTCAGCCTTGATCAGCTTGAAAAGCCAACAGCTCCCTCTTGTGGACACACTGACATCTTACCTGATGAGGATGATGACGGAGGGTGTCTGAGCCATGGCTCCGATCATGCTGCACACACAGATAATACACAGAAAGGTGAGGAAGGCCTGCTGACAGCCGGGACTCGGGCACTTTCCCGGTAACGCCACGGCTTCCTCGCTGGAGCTGGATACACACGCACAACTGCTCAGGTTCTGACAAAAACACAAAAAGTATATTCTGAAGGGTCTGTGCTTAAAAAGGTAAATAACCCAATGTGGCCCATGTTTGCGCTGCAGCCTCCTCTGGTGTCCACTCACTGGTTTGGTGCAGCCGGCGAAGCAAGCTGAGATGTAAGTGACTCCGTTGGATCCACACACCGGGCTCACTGAGGCGGTGTAACAGTTACAGTTACTGATGCAGGCCGACTCGGGCTGCTGCCAGGTCCGCAGCGTCCTGCAGAGCAGGTCAAACATGTGTCAGGAAGTACAGGCCACACAATGTTGGCATCAACCAGAAACCAGCACAGTTTTCTTTTTCTGCTTCACATTTGGTCCTTCCTGCAGAAGAAGCCAGTGTCTTTACTGGGTTTTGGGTCTTACTCGTTGCTGTAGGCCACTGTAACCCCGGCAACGGGTCCCGTGTCACAGCCCAGGAAGAGGAACGAGACGTAGCAGGCGGTGGACACCAGGTTGACCAGCATGGCCATGCGGACGGCACCCAGAGCCGAAAGGTTCAGCTTCTTAACTAAGAGGCCCCCCAAGAAAATACCCAGACAGGCACAGGGGATGGCTGTCATACCTGGACAAGTAAAGGAAGAGAAAAATTAAAACTGAAAAAGAAGCAGAAAATTAATAATACCTGAGAATTAATAAGTATAAAAGCTGAAAACGGTGAAAGGCACAAACAGTGAAACTGTTCAGCCTAATTTGTACATTTTGACGCAATCTTTTAATCTTTAGATATGACTGATAAGAATCATTTTACTGAAAACAAACAGCAAACTACTGAGAAAACTCCTCCATGAAGCTTCCTCACGTTCCTCTGACTCAGTTTACTGATAGTGAAACTTTTTACTGACAAAAGTTCAGAAAATCTAGTTCAGTTAAAATGTTTAGCCTGATTTTACAACTCTGCCCACCAGTGCAGAAAGTTTAAATCTCCTGTATTCAGCTGAATTATTTATTATTTAACTTGTTCTTTTTTATGCTGCACAAAAGTCTAACACTAAAGTAGTTTTAATTATTCTTGGGATCTGGGAGACAATGTTTTTCTCCTGCGCAGGAACCACAGCTGAGCATTTAGAGCAGACGATTTCTAAGGTTGCAGGTTTGACGCTCAGATTTCTGCTTCACCATTTTTGAGGAGCCACAAGAAAAAAAGGCCAAATAAAATATAAAAAAAATACAAAAAGTGCATCTAGATGAAACTAATTCAAAACATGTGAAAATTCATAACTAGTAATACATTTAAAAACCTGTCCAGAAAATATAGTATATGCTAAAACAATTTTTCCCCTCAAAGTATTATAAACTCATATAAACTCAAAAAACACATTTCATCACCACCTATGCTGTTATTTTGTGTGTGTGCTAATTTAGGCTTTTTCAGATAATTTCCATCTTTTGGTGCTTATTTCTGCTTCTTGCAGCCTAACTGGGCACAACTGTGCTCTCTCCACTTCCTTCTGCTAATTTAATCTTCTTTCTGCGATTTTAGCTACTGTTCAGCTGTTTGTTTTTTTTGTTACTAATTTCTGCTTTTTTCAGACCATTTCCATATTTATGTGCTCATTTCTGCGTCTTTAAGCCCAGTTAGGCACAATTCAGCTCATTCTACTTTCATCTGGTATTTTAAGCTTCTTTCTGCCTTTTCAGCAATTTTTCTGTTATTTTAGCTAATTTCAGCTTATTCTTTTTTTTTTTGCTGATTTACTAATCGTGCTCATTTCTGCTTATTTAAACCAAATTCAGCAAATATGTGTTCTTTCTGCTTTCTTTTGCTAATGTAGGTCTGTTCTTCCATTTCAGCTAAATTCCAGCATGTTTTAAGCTACATTCAGCTGTTTCTCAAGTTTTTCAGCAATAAGCATTCACACTGCATTTTCACAGGAAATGCAGTTTGTCTAGTACTTTATGAATCCACATTTTTATGTTTACCAGTATTCCTCTATATTTTATACATGCCCCTCTTTGAAGATTTGTTTTTGTGAACTTCTTTCATCCCTTATGTTCTCTGATGTTCATCCCTTATATTCTAGGAACCTCGTGACTTTTGGGCGCAGACCGTGAGCAGCGTACCTAACAGCTGATTGGCTGAAGAGGTGGTGAGGTTGAACTGCTGCTCCAGGTATTTGCCCAGGAACGCAGCGAAGCCGGCCACCACGGCGATCTCCATGCAGGCGGCCAGCGTGATGCAGCTGAACACGGGGTTGGAGAGGAGGTGCCTGGTTACCCGAGGGATCACTGCGTCCAAATGTGTGTGGCGGCGTGGTGGTGTGTGTGTGTGTGTGGGTAGGGGGGTGGGGTTACACACAGAAACAAAACAAAAAGAGAGGGAAATTAGAAGTATGAACTTTATAAACCAAATTATTTAATACATTTTGTTCCACACCAGCTCCTCTGATCGGTTCTTACCTCTCAGATGCTCCCAGACCGAGAGTCCACTGTTCATTTCGAAGCCTCTGAAGGCTCCGTTGGGTTTAGAACCCTGGTTCTCCTGGGTCAGAGAAGAAGGCAGCATGGCCTGCTCACTCTCCCCTCCCCCGTTTATGTCCTGCTCGTCCAGCTCCTGGGGGAAGCCGAACATGAAGAGGGACGACAGGAAGAGTAAGGCACTGCAAAGGAGGAAGCCCCCCCACCAGGCCCCGATCCAGCGAGGGTCATCTGGGGTGATATCCAGCTTAGCTGAGGGTAAAAAAATAAAAATTAAAATAAATCTGGGTTCTACAACCCTGTTCACACACACAAAAAAGACAGACGCTGTGTGACGAGAGCTCCCCAAATTATAAACTCTTAATTTGACCATAAATGGTGCAAAGACAAAAATCTAATTCTGTTTTAAAAAAAACTGATGCTCACTTTACTCAGACTCTGTTTATTCCTATTTAAAGATAACAATGAAAAACAGTTACCGAGGTCTGTGTATACTAGGTAAAAAAAAAATAATATACAACTTGATAAAACATAAAATGACAGCATAAATAAGAATCATATAAATAAATGATTGCTACAATTAAAAAGGAATACATATAAATAAATGATTGCTACAATTAAAAAGGAATATAACATTACAAATACCATAAAATCATAAGTCTGATGCCAATAAAACATTTTGCAAATAAATAGGGCCAGTTAAACGCTGAATAAGTTGTGTTTTTCTAAAATAATAAAGTCTATATGGAAAAGTTACCAACTTGGATAATTAAATAAATGCTCAGGAGTGGCTGATTCATCCAGTAATTATCACCAAGGCCAAGCCTCACTGTCAAACAGAATGTGCACATATTTCAGCAATGTCTGTGGAAAACTTCATCATTGCAATAAACTGGACAATTAATTGATTTAGAGAATCTGGAGAAATGTCTCATCAGTGAGAAAAAAAATGGTGAAATATTTAAAGGCCTAGCATTCCTTGAAGGACAGTCCAGTGCCTTTTGTCTCAGAGCGTTAAACTAAGATCAACTTATCTAGAAAAACTATTTTAAAACATAACTCCAAAGATTTAAAAACACATAAAAAAGAGTTCAAGTGTTACAATGATCAGCTTAAATCTGCATCATCATCATTCAAGTTTGCAAACTGTTGGTCAGACACAAAGTTTGTTTTCTCAGTCATCCAGGTATATAACAACAAAAAAGGTTGAATCATGTCTCTTGGATGAGGGGCGAAACGTTTCTTTTTAACAAAAAAAACGAAGTCCAGATGACATGATTCAACCTTTTTTGTTGTTGGTCAGACATTTTTACATCAAGTAACATCTCACTTTGCTTGTCTCTACCAACTTACTGGTGTCGATGAAGACGGCATCGACGTAGACTTTGGTACAGACAGAACCGAGGATGAAGCCACAAGCTGGGCCGAACACTAACGTCGAAAACAAGATGCCTGAAAAACAACAAACAAACAAGTTAAACAGTGAGATGGCTGCAGAAAACATCAAAATGGTTGAGCATAATGTCAGAAAACGAACCAAAACGATCCAATTTCAAATATATGTTTTGTTTCGCTAGAGGGCAGCGCTGTATCAAGACTGGGTCACAATATTTAAAACAGAGGGGTCAGAACTGCTCTGGACTTTATCAGATGTGTCCCATAAGATGACATCATCTAGCAGCACTGAATGAGACCCAGCAGGACATGACTCATGTCAAACCAGAGCGAGACTCTGATACAGCAGCAAAACAAGCAGCTGCTCATCTTCAGCACCAGCAGAGAGCGCAGGAAGTGTCCGGTCCAATCCACTCTGTGTTTTAATGATGCGTCCTGGAAGAACCGCCACATGTTCTAAATGTTGGACTATTCAGTGACATTATGGAGGAAAGATGATGATTTATTCTTGCTGTTCGTCACAATATGTTATTTATTGTTGCACTTTTTTTTGTAGCTTTTGTTCAAGAAACACAGATTTCTGCGGTCTATAGGAAGGGTCATTTTATTTAGTTAAATACCCAGAAGATCTGGAATCAAATTAGAAAACATTGTGCGCTCCCACACGTTTCGGTCCATGTTTCAGTTTGGTAGAACCATGATTTATTTTTTTTTTGTTGCCATCTCTTACGTGGAACTGCATGAGTATTGTCTGTTTAGAGGATCTTTATGTTGACGGACAATTGGGCTCCTTTGAACAATTGCAATCCAAATTTTTTATTTCAAAATCTCATTTTTTTTTAGGTATTTACAACTGAGACATTATGTCCAACAGACTCAAAATCAGAATCAAAATAATCTTTATTATCATTGCACCAAGATACAACGACAATATGTCCGTACAGTCGTCCAACAGATGGGCGGAGCGCACGAAGCTGCTGCTATAAGCACGGCCTTCTTATTCTTATTCAGAATCCATTTTTAGATATAAAAAGGGACACAGCCATGAGGAGAGGATAGTGGCATTACAATACAGATCTCTTCACACCTTGTCCTATCTGGACACGGTTTAAGACATCAAAGAACTCTGCCAGCAGCACATTTATGAACACGTTGCATGCATTAGACGAGGCGGTCCATGAAGCACTAACAGATAGTCCATTTTGTCCTGATAAGATGATGGTCAGCCGGCACAGTTCTGATAAGCCTCCACAGAAGTTGTGATAGGCAAAGCTTTTCTTTAGTTTACACATTTCCCAGGAGAAATTGAAAAATCAGCCTGTTTCAAGGCCAACCAGGGAGTCAGATTCAGATAACCAATATGAATTTATATAAATTTCCATCTGCGAATAATATATTGTTAAAATCTCTCCTAGGACCACCTGAAGCAAAACATTTGATCTCTGAGCTGGTCCGCTTCTTCTCAAGTACCTTAGATTCATCTACAAGTAAAATAAAAAAGCCTGGGAAGGTGATGAAATATTAACAAACATCAAGTCTTGTTCAATCAATGCCAGACTTCAGCTGATTCAGTACCATACCATGCCATTTTATTTATAGAGCACTTAAAACAGTGACAAGGCCAACCAAAGTGCTGTACAGACAGAACAACAGGTAACACACTAAGCAATATACAAAATGAAGTAAATCAGAAGATAGACATAAAAACAATGCAGGTAATAAATATGACAAATAACCAGGGTGGAGCATACAGGTTCAAAACACAGATCATCTGGTGTTGAAAGCTACTGAATAGTAGTGAGTTTTTAAACGGGATTTGAAAACCAAGAGGGAGGGGGCCTGTCTGACAAGCAGAGGTAACTCGTTCCAAAGTCTTAGTCCTGCTACAGAGAAGGCCCTGTCACCTCTGTGCAGTAGAAGGTAGTTCATAGAATACATTATTCTAAAACTAAATAAAACATTTTTTTTCCTAATCTTTCTTAACTTTGTAACAGATGTCAGGCAGCAGAAGGTGCTCTAGCTCACCTTTAGTGGTTTTGTCCAAATTTACATAATTTTTGGTCTTTTATCTTTCAGTGATTTTCATCTGTTTTTAATATCACTGTCACAGCTGCAGAAAGAAAAGCTTTGCAGAGAGTGGTGAAGGCTGCACAGAAGTCTGTTGGAGTCAGTCCCCCCACCATCACAGACATCTTCACCTCCAGATGCAGGAAGAGGGCCACCTGCATCATGAAGGACCTCACTCACCCAGCACACACTTTTTGCCCCACTCCCCTCAGGAAGGAGGTTGAGGAGCATTAAGTGTAGAACCACTAGACTGAGGAACAGCTTCTACCCTGAGGCTGTTAGACTCATGAATCTCTAACCAGAATAATCACTGTGAAAAACCACATCATGTTGCTGCTGATCTGTTTCATGTTGCTGCTGATCGGTTTCATGTTGATGTGTTCATTCGTACCCATCTGCTCACACAGACTAATGTTAGTGCTGCTGTTCAGCGTATTGTTTTTATGTTATGAGTGCTTAATGTAAATTTAGTTGATGTTTTTCTTAGTTCATATCTTAGATCTTATTGCTGTTTTTCTTTTACATTTTATTGTTGGATGTAACTGGGACTCTGTGTACATAATTTTGTTCCACCCCATGTGGTGGAATGACAATAAAGAATCTCTGACTCTGACACCTGATCCTGAAACTGCTCTGCTGGGACACTCCAACACCTTGAAAAACCTAGACTGTAACATGCGTATGGCTCTAACTGTTTGTATGATGACTGCAAAGAGGTGCATTCTGAAACTGTGGATGTCTGATTTACCCCCCAAGTTTGAGACCTGGCTGACTGAACTCAAATATATTCTGCATGTGGAAAGGCTGAGATATGAACTTTCTGGTAACATTCGTAAGTTTTCTAGGATATAGAATCCAGTGTTGGGATATGTAAATAACCGATGATGCTCCTTTTATTCAACCACATTACTTAAGTGTCTTCCTGAAAAGATGGACAGTGGAGGAGGTAACACAATTGTGATCTTTGCCCAATATTTTCATTTATTTATGTATCTATTGGTTATGTTACATTCACTTTATATTTTGTTTGCTTCACTTTTTTTGTCTTGTTAAAAAAGTGTTTAAAAAAAAGCAACACAGATGAGTAAAATGAGAACAAATGAGAGGAGATGGCAGCTGCACAAAACAAGTTCATTTATTAATTAACTTTTTATAAAGTCATTAATTTGTACAATCATTTACCTCCAGCAGTTGCAGTTATCACAGCTCAAATCATAAATTTGAGAGTTGAGATTTAAGACTGCGTGTAAAAAAAAAAGATGTTTTCAATACGACATCAGTGGTAGATGTAGTATAATGGGCTAGGGTTAGTGAGAATGGGCACAGGAGGACTTTAACAATAATTTAACAAGATTAGCATTTAAAAACAATTATTTGTTTACTCGAAATTATAGTAAAGGTGTGTCTCAGTTGAACTTTTCCTTAATAAATGCAATTTAATGGTCAAATCAGCTGCATTTCACCTGGGCGGTGCGGCGAAATGCAGCTGAGTCGATGTTTGCTCCAGGAGTTCCACAGCAAGACGAAGGTGGCCTGTATGGCAAGCCAAGTGTCTCATTAATAGCCAATTTTACCTATTAATGAGACATTTGGCTTGCCATAAAACTTGAGGGCCCTCTAGCGGCTGCAAATGGTAATGTTTAATATTTTCTATGTCAGAATGAATTAAATCGTCAGATCTCAGCCAAAAATTGGGCAATAAAAATTAGGGGGGGGGGGGGGGGGCAGGAACACCATATGTTTTGGTGTATAAGTCATAGGACTTGCAAATTTATGCAAAAAGGTGCGACTTATACACTGTCAAATATGGTGTTCCTTCATGAGCCTGGTAGTGCAGCTCTGATGAACTGTATGTGCTCCTGCTGTCACCAGCTGAGCTGCAGTTTAATGACACATATTGAGGGATTGATGGTTTTTTATTGGCTCTATTCATACCTCTTTATATTTATAAGACCTAATATGAAACAGCACAAATGGATCTCAGCCCTAAATGACAAGGGTCAGTTCACATTGCTGTCGTCACGTGATGATGCAACAGGAAAAGATAAACCATGGATCAACCTCACTGCAACTTCTTATATATGACTCCTTCCAGGGTAATAAAACATTTATTATCTAATGAAAAATTGGTACAGAACTATTAATAAAGTAAAAAAAAAAAAAAGTGGAAATGAAACAAATGCTAAAAATGGTTAGTACAGCTGTACAAAAACGTACAAATGTTAAAAGGTTTAAACTGTTTATTTGCACTTTGTATGTTTTAATAGCATTAAATGTATATTGCCTCTAACAACAAATTGACTTCTGCAGCTTTTATTAAAAAAAAAATCAAACTGCTGCAGCATCCTTCTAGATGTCCCCCCCTCCCCCCCCCCCCCCCCCTGGAAGACGGTCTGAGAGATAAACCTTGAATTATTTCTGCTGGCAAACAAACTAATTGAAGGTCTATTTCACTTCTGTGCTGCGTTTACTTCTTTCTCATGAGGCTGACCACATAATAACTTTGCTTAAACTACGACGACCAAAACAATCATAATTCACACTGTTATTCATTAAAGCCCAGTCACTGGGTGAAGGCTGAGAGCTTTAGAGCAGGTTGGCAGGGTGGAGATGCTGTGTCAGACTCGTCCTCCTTCCTGTCAAACTAGGAAGAGTAGAAAACATACACTTCAGCAGCACAGGCTTCGCTTGACACATGCTCGCTTTAAGTTTTTATCAATCCCCGCGTCTTGAAATAAACTAAAAATATGCTTCATGTGTCCAACTGATGCAACATATACAGACATTTAACAATACAATACAGCATCCAGATAAATGCTTTCCAAGCATGTTTTTAAAAATAGCTGTTTGTTTAGGGCTGATCCATCTATATATACTGTTTTAATAAAGCTATAAAAGTCTTTATTCAGTCAATTTATCAAAAGCCATATGTGTATAGAACATTGAATGGATGCATACTGCCAGCCATCTTTCATTCCCGAGTCCCGGGG